TTTCCTATCGACAGTACTCGGGGACCTCTAGTGATCAAGACTAGGGTAAAAATCTGCCGAAGTTCCCCTTTAATTGAAAGCAGTGATGTACTAAAAGAGTATTAAAGGAGAGGACCAATCAGCCAACTGATTAGAATCGAAACAGACAAAATTTGTGAGGTAAAAGGAGGAAGGGGCATGAGCAAATAGTGGCAGGAATATGAATTTTTGGAGTTAAATTCGCTGTCTAATTAAATTATATGTATATTTATCATTATTTAGTTGGATATGCATAGAACCAGTGTGTGTTTGTTTGTAAATGATCATGCAGACCAGAGAGAAGGAAACCAATGACTCTGTATATGAAAGAGTGGGATGAGGGCAGGCTCCAACAGACGTCAGCACTTAATCCCTTTCCTGACACATTGCTCCCGAACCGATGGTTACATAAGGGCTGGGGAAGTGAAAGGCTAGCCTTTTGTATCTTGCCACTTCTAATGTGTTTGTTTTATGTGTTGCATTGCATGTGCAGTCCACATCTATACATCCACATACTATCTGTGTGCGACCAACCTCTGTAGCGTGACTCCTGCCTTCGTTGAGCACTCCTATCGGGCTCTCTTCTGGTAGGATGCATCCCACGCACCTCTGCTGCTTTCTGGGCAACTTCTCGAGAAATGTCCCTGAGGCGGCTCTTGGGATCGCTGGTGCTAATTTTCACTACAAAACAAAGAGATGTCAGGTATTAGTGTATGTAATTACTGCAGATATTTATTTTTATTTTTTTTTTAATCTCAGTTGAACTGCTAAAATCAGGTGGGGATTTCCACCACTGCAGACACCATTAAAAGTATTTTCTATCTCAGAGTACACATAGTTATATCTATTGTCACACACATCATTTTCCTTGTCACAGTTTTCCAAATCTTAGTCCCCAGCACCCCCAAGGCACTGAGCAGTTGCTGAGAGTGTAGACGGAGGCGAACTTTACAGCACATCATTGTGCCGGTGTATATGGTACATTTTTACATGAGGGGAAAGGCAGCAGGGCGGAAACATGGCCACGCAGAAGCTTCTCTGCCCTGTCTGGCAGATATTCACCTTGAAACGCGATGATTAGTCATGGCACTGGAAAACATGATCATACTGGGGTTCTGTTAGCTGTTTATGATTTCAACAGGAATCACTGCGAGGAGAGCATGACGTTGTAAAAAAATCAAATACCAGGTGTTTTTGAGACTATATTTTTGGGACTCCATACTCTCTTCAGCACCAAAAAAACCACTGCATGTGTAACAGTGTACCACATGATGGATCAGAGCTGCAATCTTGACTGTGCTGCTTTTGGAAGCTCTGAGCAACTACTGGCATTTTACTGTATTGACTGCAACCTTCCCTCCCCACACCACAGCTTAAGCAACAAGCTTTCAGGCGAGGGGAAACAATGACACAAATCTCAGTGACCTTCACAACTTCATACAGCCACATAACAACAACAACAACAACAACAACAACAACAGGACATTCCATATAAGGAGTATGGTCTTGACCTGCTCCATTTGAAAAGTGCCCTGAGATAACTTTGGTTATGATTTGGTGCTATGCGATTAAAACTTAATTGAAGTGAATAATATTAAAAAACTTGTATTTTCACTAGTTCTGTGTGCTCCTACAACATTTTCTTTAATTTTCCTTCTAAAAAAGTATCTCCTTTTCAAATTACACTCTTATTTCTACTTGGACTTAAGTATGTGCAGAATTGGCAGCTCTTTGTGACCTCTCTCCTCAACAAGGGTCCCTAATCCCTTCTGTATTACTAACATGGACAGATTTAGTTTTACAGCAAAGACATTTAATTATCTCTTCCTCTGCTTGCTATACCAGATCCGCGCTCGTCACCTCTCTCTGTGGACAAAAATATTTACAAATTAAGCAATCTTTCAAGGCTAAAAACTACAACCAAGTGTGATTCATTTCTCCTCCCCTCTTTTTCTCTCCTGATTACTGCAAACCACTATTTCCACAAGTACATACTGTGTTTAAACCATAGTTTTGCTTAGACTGATGCTTGTTTGCAATGTTGGAACAATTTTCTTTAAAACATTCCTAAATTTGCAGTGGAAGCAAATAAAAACATCTTACATAACTTTTTTTTCCTCCTAAAACACTTGATTAAATGACTTGATAGAATGAAAATTTCCGCAGCATGTTCCACCATATCTTGTGTTATGAATCTCTTTTTGCATTCTAAACATTTTACCAGACTTCTTCTCTTACCTTGTCCCCGTCCTCCGCTGGTCTGACCACTGCCCCTGCTGAAGGCTGACATTGTCTTCTGTTTGAAAGTGCCTTGACCCAACAGAGCGTTCAGATTCTCCTTGGTGAGGTCCAGCTTCTTGGGAGCTAAAACTGGAGACTCAATGCCTGCAGAGGAGACAAAAGGGAAACATGACATTTCAAGCTGATGTATGAAGGATTATCTTTTTCCAACAAAAACTGTTTATGTGATAAAACATAAATTTGACATCAATAAATGCACAGACTGCACCTGAAACTTAGAAACAGAAATTCAATGACAAAATCTACACAGTGGTCTCCCTGGTTTTTTGTAGGATCATCCAGTTTGGTTCGGCGCCCTGTCAGCTCTGATGGGCAGTGAGCGGCTGCCACAGCTTGGACCTGGGGCACGGCCAGCATGGAGAGTTGGAGGAGGATCTTTAAAGGGGATAAAAACCTCCCCCAACCAAACAAATCCAGGGATATATAATCCAAACAGCAGAGATGTTCAGCTGTTGTCATCAACAAATTTTCATTACTGTCTGCAAAGGCAACTAATATGATCTGGGATTTTACACATCCTATAAAGAGTCGTTTTTTGTTTGCTGATGTTTTTCAGAATTTGATATCCATTAAAAAAGTGGTTTGTAAATTAAGGGAATTTTTATTTACAATTAGTTAAATGTGTGCTAGAGGAGAACAAAACACCAGCATTCCAAGAATATTACTTTATGTAAAATATAAATAATAAAACTTTCATCTACATTACATTTGTTGTCAAACACTTAACTCCAGCTTGGTGTACAGAGGCTAATCAGTCAAAAGAAGATAAATAAATCACACTTTAATTCAAACTTCAGACTATAAATTTGCATGTCAATGTTGAAAAACTAGAAACATTCGGCTAATCTCTGGCTCACAGTTTCTCTTATTCCCTCCACATCCTGCACTATTTGTATGACCACAGAAACTAAAAAAGAGGCACGCCTCAGCTTCATATTAATAGGTATTTTCCATATATGACATTATAATCAAAAAGGTCACTTAGGATGGGATTATGGTTAGTGAATGCTAAGAAAAACACATAATAGCATTAATAACCAGAATTTCCATAAAAGGACACAACATACACTGCAATTTAGTACAATATAACTATGTTGCCAACAGATCATCTACAGTGACAGTGTGTTGATGTTTTTTTAAAAGATCATCATGACGACCTCTGAGTTATTCTTTGTTAGGGTCCTTATTCCAGTAAAAATCGGCACTGTTAAAATATTAAACACAAATACAGAACCAAGACGGATTTTTAAAAGATTTATATAATCTAACCCTACCTTGCACTTCTCCAATGACAGGGGTCTTATAGTGAGACTGGCTGCTGTTTTGTTTTGAGGCATCATCTGCGGTGATAGCACTCCCGTCGGGGTTGGAGTAAAAGAGGAGGAGAGGCTGGAAGTGACCTTTGATACATTTGCTGACCACATCTTTCCACCTGGAGCCGATCTACAGCACAAGACAAAGAAAAGCTGGTCAATGCACGTGTACGCACAGACTTTACACAGAGGAATCCTGCACTTTTATGTGATAAAAAAAAAAAAATGATTTACAGCATTCTTTTTTGTAAAATAATCCATCATCTATATGTTTTCTTAGGGATCAATCAATTTGAAGAGATTGAAGAGGGGTTTAAAATGTTGGATTTTCTTAATGGGACCTTAGTCCAATTCAATTTAGAAAAGCTGACAGATTGTGCACATAACAGGATAATTTGTTTTTCTTGTGACCCCATCTGTTCTCATTTTGCAAAGATGTATCAAAAAAGTTGTACAACTGTGATCTGATATAAAGCATTTTAACTTATTACAAACTGAACAGTTTCCACTAATACCCAGTTTTAGTGGCATCACCATAAGGTCACAACCCGAGTCAATCATAACCAAACAGTAAATAATCTGGCAACTTTAAAACCTCACCTTTATTGTGCATGGGATCATTTGTGAATTAAGAAAACACACCGCGGCCAAATCACACAATCACATTAGCTAAGCTTTGTAAGGTGCGTGTCTCGCCACAAAGGCACCACGAAGGCAGGCTGCAGGCTAACAGATGCTTGTGTGCTCCTTAATTAAGCAAATGACGGTGGAAGAGGGGGGGGGGGGNNAGAGAGAGAGAGATAGAGAAAGATGAGGTGGAGAAGAACTAATTCACAGCAAAACAAAGGAGGCAACAGAAGGAATGTTGCAGAAGTGGATTTAAAATAAAAAAGTCTCAGTCTCTTATTCCTGGCGTGCTGAAGGGAACCATGAAGTTGTCTTTGTGTATTTTATTGACTACTTAAATTAAATGTAGCCTCTGAGCAATGACATTACGTACCACTTAATACTGATGCATTCATTTAAAATGATAAACAAATACCTGCGTCAGATGTCATACATTTTCACCTGCCAGACAGAACACAGACTTCTCAGTGGCCATGGGACAGGTATGATTTAGAATTTTGTCACAGTTAGCAAGTAACTGTATTGTATCTGTATTTCATCAACCTCAGAAACGCTGGCAAATTTTGAGCCAGGTATGGACTTGGCAGGCGCTGCTGAGCACTGTACCTCCTCCATCTCGGTCGGGGGTGGGTGGGGTTGTGGGGCTGCACACACAGCACAAGCTGCGGATGGATTGACACAGAGCCAGCCAGCCGCTGCACCACAGTCCCCGAGAAATTTTGAGGATGTGAGACAAAAGCCACGCTCACGTGTGCACACCATGAAAATAAATCCAATATTTAGAGAAAAAGCAAAAGGATGGTTGAAAGGATTCACAGCCTACATACAGACATGCCTGCAAAAAACACAGACACACACACACCTGCACACTGCAACTCAGCACTCTCACTGACCCATCAACTTTAACCAGTGAAGGGATCCGTAAAATAATCTTTACTTGTTAAGCTCCGCTTCACTACTGCAGTACTTTATGACGACAGAGTTGGGGAACTGCAGTAGAAATGAGGGTGGGGGTTAGCTGACTCTTCAGTGCCATAAAGGCTCATCAGCCCAGAGGCTCATGAAGGGCAATCGATGTGGCCCTTATCGGGCGATAAAGATACTTAGTGATGGAGACAGGACACTGAACATCGCTGCTTTTTGCTGCTGCTTGTAAAAATAAATAAATAAAAAATGTTTTTCCAACTCATAATAGGACAATTTCATGAATAGAGATTTCCAAATCTTACACTGTAGTCCATCTAAACAACACTAAGCTGATGCCCAAACTGTGAAAAATTTCAAACAAAACAAGTAAATATCTTCTGGAAACCTTACACAAAAAGTTCTCACTTCTTTCGCTGCAAGATGCATTGTAACAAATTGTATAAACTCTTTAATTCCCTAGAGCCATAGACTCCAACAGCTTTTCATGTGTCTGCTGTAATAGCTCCAATTTATCATAATCGTTGTGTTACTTTGCATACGTTATCAGTTATTTTCATGATTAAATACTCTGTAGTAGTCTGTAACATGTCAGAAAATAGAAAAATGTCCATAACAATTTCCCAAACCACGAGGTGATGTCTTCAAAGACAATACGTCTGACACAGTCTAAAACCCCCCAAAAACTTTTGGAACCTGTCATTGGTCCCTTTTAAACTTTTTCTATCAACTCTTTGTCTTACTTACAAATGATCTCACTAGTAGTGCACGCTTTCTTACCTCTTTCACTGTGGCATCATCAAAGAAGACCCATTTGGAAGACTTGGTGTGGAAGGCGAAGGCACAATAGTGGCGGCTGGAGTAGCAGATCATCCCCACGAGCTGCAGCTCTCCTTTTTTGGCATGCTCATCTGTCACCCTGTAGAAGAGCTGAGTCCACACACACACACACAGACAC